AAAAAAAAAAAAAAAAAAAACGGAGGGGCTGCCCCCACCCACCCCTACCCCCAGGAAGCCCCCAAATGTTTGTTTTGTTTTTTTTTCTTTCCTGAGGTTATGCGATTCTGCTCAGTAAAAGGAATATAGTTGGCACGTGGAGGAGGAGGAGGAGGAAGAAGAGGAGGGGGAGCGGGCAGAGGAGGGGGAAGTGGGAGGAGAGGAAGGAGGAGGAGGAGGCGCGCGCGCGAAGGCTGAGCGCGACCGAGCCGGAAGCGCAGGCCGAGGCATAGAGGTTAGCAGCCTGGCTGCTCGCGCAGCAGGCCACTCTTCCTCGCCATGACGACGGTAAAAAAAAATCATCAAGCGAGGAGACAGTGCACGGAGGGAGGTCATTCTATTGTTGCAGTCACTGCCCCTGCCAGGCGGCAAGGGCCAGCGACTCGACACGCCTCCCTCTTGAGAACACTTTTCACTCTATAACACCTCCGTCGGGGCGATCCTGGAAAATTGCTTTTGAATTGGTTTTGGATTGCATGCGAAAATACAAAAAAATGCTCAGCAGCCCACCAAGAAAAACACGTCGCGCGAGCGGCGCAAGGCGGTGCGTCCCGATCGCGATAACGCATTGGAGAAGCCATGCAAGCAATGATGAGATAAGGCGGTGTGGCATTACAAGGGGGAGAGCAAACATGGGGCAACAACGTACACCACGCCAAGGCTAGGGCTGCACGGCGCTACCCCACGCATACATCTCCACCTCATCTTGCCCCGTCGCCTTCTCGATTCGTTGCAATGGCACGGCTATGCATTGCCCCGCTCGCGGCGCACCGCCTTGCTCGATTCGCACGCTAGTGTTTCACTGGCGAAGGCCAATGACATTTTTTGCCGCATTCAGACGCATCCCGAACCAAATCCTAAGCAACGCCCCGCGGATCACATGGCCGAACTGTGTTTTCAAGAAACTGGTTGCCATAGTGTTCGCGGGTCGTCGAACGCGTCGCGCGTTTCGGGGCCCTGCGAGGGTGGCGCCGACCAAAGGCCTCGATGGCAGGGTCCGCACTGGCGAACGCCATGAATTTGTGATGGCCCTACACTGGCCTGGTCGCCTCAACAAAAGCCCACCCCCGAAGCCTCTAGTAGCGGGGATTGCGCATCTCCGCAGCCATTCCAGCACGCGCATCATGCGTTTCGTGGCCCAACGGAGAGCTCCACCGTTGCCCGCAGTGGACGGGGTTCGCGCGCGCGCCCTCCGCTCGCGTCGGCGCCCTTCTCACGCGTTTCGTGGCCCGACGGAGGGGTCCACCCAAGGCCCCACTGGCAGGAATAGCACGCGTCATAACCGATCGCGTCGGCGCGCCGACCAAGCCCACACTGGCCCAACGGTGAGCTCCACCGAACGCCCATCCAGAAGGCCCGCATGACTTCCGAAGCAGGTCCCAATGGGGGGTTGGGAAAAAGAACGCCGGCGTGATATGATAACGTTTCCCATCGAAATAACACCGAGTGGCCTGTAGGCACCCGACGCGCACCCAACGAGGCCCAGAGTTAGTTCGAGAGATCCCCCATGCGGCGCCCAAGATGCCCCAGGAAGCAACCGAACTCCCAAGCGCGCAGCCAAGAACATCCGAAGATGCCCCCAACAGATCACCCCGAGATCTCCGCACGCGTCCGATGTCCGTAACCCACAGTCCACGCACGGCGGCGGTTTCGGCCGAAGGCCATTAGATAATTTGCTAGGGCGTCGCGGGTTCTCGGTCATCCTGGGGGTCGGCTGGATGGCGTAAGCCAATGGAATAAACTGGCAAGCAGGAGAAGGATGAGCAACTGAACTCGAGCACAATGCAGGGAGCTGACGATGATAAGGGGGCGCACGAGGAGGAGGGGCAGGTACCTGACGAGGACAAGGAGGAGCAGAAAGGGAGGGATGAGCGTGGGAGGAGGGCGGAGGGATTTCGAGGGCTCGGACACAAACGCCACCCCCCCGAGCCACCCGAACCAACCCTTAACGCGCACCCTGGCACCAACACCTTAGCCCCAAACCCCAAACCCACGCACCCCCCAACGGAGCGGCGCGCCAAACCCCACCGCCACAACCCCAGCCGTAACCAGACCGCCCCACGCCAACACACGATCACCGAACAACCCTACCAAGTCCTGCCACTTGCCCCTTACCCAACCCCCCCATTCCGTAGCCCCCCACGCGCAAAACTAACAACCCGACTCCAACGCAGCCAACCCCGACGGAAAAAAAGCAAAGCGGCTGGAGGAGGAGGAGAAAGAAGAGGAGGGGGAGGAGCAGGAGGACGAGGGCGAAGAGCCCTGAAATCCACCTCGCTCTCCATCAATATTTGTCAAGGCCACTCCGCGCGCTCCAGGCGCAGCAGCCAACGTCCAACAACCACTCGGCAGCGGTGTCGGCCCAGCGGTTGCCACAGGCCCATGATTGTTACGTCATCGCTCCTTTCCCCTCCCTCTTCCCCCTCCTCCCCCTTCTCCCCCTCGTCCCCTCCTCCCTCCTCCTCCCATTCCTCCCCCTCCCCCCACTCCTCCCCCTTCTCCTTCTCCTCCCCCTTCTCCTCCTCCCGTCCTCTTCCTACGTATCGTTCCATGGGCCTGCGGCTCCCGAGGGGAGACCCCGCTGCGCGAATATCTCCTAGCCCTGCAAGGGCATCAAGTTGATGGCGTCCTCCACGTGCTTCTTGACCCATGGGTGCGCGTCCTGGTAGCTGCTGGGCTTGCTGCTGTTGCCTGAGTTACGCTCCGAGCGACATTTCTGCTGCAGCTTGTTCTTGTCCTTCACCAATGCCATGACGCCGATGATCGTCGCTTCCTTACTGGTCGTGAACGCCTTCTTCAGCTTGACCTCGGGCGCGGCTTCCCACGCAGTGTCTGGGCTCGTGTCGAAAGCTTCCCGTTCTGTCTTGGCCTTGTCGAAAGCCGCCTTGAACTCATTCGCCTGCTGCTTGAATTTCGCTGGGTTCAGCGTGAGGAGCGTCTTCTGCGCATGCTTGTGGAGGGCCGCGGGCGTGTTATCGCCGACAAGCAAGCCATGCCAATCCGAGCCGTCGAAGGTGCCGCCGCGCGCCGTCTCAAGGCTCCTCTGGTTCTCGTCGCCGTCGTCGAATGGCTTAGTCCACACCGCGTTGGCGGCGGCCTTCGCAAGGAGGTAGCGCTCGAGGGCATCGGCCTTGATCGTCTGCTCGGTGATCGTCAGAAGGTCCGTGATCAAGTCTGCTTGCTGGAAGGACGGTGGGAGCTGCCTGAACTGCGCCTCGATCGCCTTGCGACTGCTGTAAAGGAGCTTCAGCACCATGCCGTCGGGGTCACCTTTGGCGATCCGAGCTGCGAGGTCAGCACCAGACGCGATGTACTTGCGATGGGCCGTCTTCGTCTCAACGATTGTGCCCAGCAAGCGGTGCGCAACACTCCAGTCACGCCTCTGGGTAGAGCTCGGGTGCAATAGCTGCATCACGTGTCCGACGAGGCCGACCGTATCGTCTGAAAGGTTATCTGCATTGTCGATCATCTTCTGGTACACGCCCTGCAAGAGATTGACTGCTGCCTCCTGGACGTTCGCTGGGAATGGATTCTCTAGATCTGCCACGCGCATGATATCGGTAACCTTTCCGATGAAACTATCCCTGGACTCTTGGTTCATCAACTCTTCGGGCCGTATCGAACTGATGATGCTGCCGAATCCTGCTTTGGACACCTCGACGCACATGAGACGCCCGATCTCTTTGCAAGACTCAATGGCACTGGTGATGGTCGGAGTAAGCCTGAAACAACCGCAGTCCTGTGCGATCCCCAAAAACCGCTGCACAGATTTCAACACCTCGATGTGGGAGGGAAACTCCGAAGGCTCCACTGTGTTGGCCCTCCAAGCGTCCGAGATCACTTGCACCTTGATGCGCAAACACAAATCTCCCGACAACACCACGCTTCCGTCGGGGTTGCTGCGGGCCTGCCTCACTACGAATCTACGCGTCGATCTCCCTAGTTGCGTACCGCTCGGGAGAGCTCAGGGGGGGCACCCAACTGGGGGGGCAGGCCAGCATCACCAAGAACAAACGGCATCAATCAAGTCCAATGGCGGCCACCGTCGGGGAAACAACACGGGCCAATCGTCGGGTCAACCATCGGGACCAGCGCCACAGCATCGGGAATCCATCGGGGACAACTCCCAAGACAACCCCACCACATTTACCTAGCGAGATCGCCACCAGTAAATCCCAGGAGCTATGTATCGGCATCACTGCAAGAAGACTTCTGTTAGCTACCGATCAGTGCAGCGACCGAATTACTTCTCTATCGATGTAACGATCTCACGATCAATCTGTCTGCACCACAACGGTTTACCCTAAGAACGGCTGTCGGAACGCACATCGGCACAACCACAACGACAACCATCGATACACTCCTTAAGATATCCTCGCACTCCTGGCGCGCACCCGAGAGCACGCCTGTTCGATGTCTCGCATGACCCAACAGAGCCCCACGTGCAGAAGGACTCACATAAAGCCACAATTGGTGAAGGGGGCGGCGGAGGGATATCGATTCAGTCCAGAGACCTTGACAGCCAACGCCTCCAGGTAGGCCATGAGCTTCACCTCGAGCACCTTGGTGGCACCCTCTCGCGAGTTCTTCCTCAACGTTGCCATGTTCTTGATGCGCTCCTCAAGCTTAGGCATGACTTCTATCGGGTCGGCCTGGTCCTCAAGGACCATCGTGGCAAACCTGATCTTGTCCACGCTGAGCGGGTGGGTCACCTGGGCGACCCGCCCACTCTCCCCGTGAATGCCGCCCATGCCGCCCGAAGGCCGCCTCATGGTCCTCCAGTCGTGTCCTTATCCTCCACCCCCGCCGAAGGTCCACCATGCCATCCTGCTCTTCCTCCCCAGCCAACCCCACAATTCACCCCTCGTGCACCCCGTCACCACCACCCTACGGAGATCCATCCAGCCCAACCGTCAGACTCGGGGCCACCCGTTCCAGAACCTCGGGCCCGCCCACGTGACAAGTCCAGCAAGAACCGTTTCGCCCAATTCACCTTGGTCTTCTTGATGGACACCACGTTGTTGGCGAAGGCGGCCGTCTCGCACATCCGCTCGTTGAAGTAGAACCTCAGGCCCTTCCACTGACCGTCGGAGGGCGGCGGCTCGGCCGCCGACAGCGCGTCGAAGTCGGCCGCGAACTTGAAGTTCAACGGGTCGGGGTCCATGACGTACTGGGCTGCCCGCAAACACTCCACCGCGGAGTTCACGCTCAACTGAATCGCCTCATCGACGTCCTCCCCCATTGAGTTGATCAATACTTGGTCGATCTTCTGACACATGCCGATGCACTGCTCTGTAGTTCGTGACGTGGACCAGCTCCGCAGCAGCGGGCACAACAAATAGGAGAAGGTCGCGCTCTCAAACCTGACCACCTTCGCCGCTGCATCGCCAGGGATCTGGTACCCGCACGGGCCCCGCCAATCAAAGCCAAGCTCGCCCTCGGGACACTGCAGCTGCTCCTCGCCCTCAACCGACACCAGCGCCGTCGGCAATACGATCTTGAAGAACCCCACGATGTCATCCGAGCTGCCGCTCGCGATCTCTGCCCCCAAGGCTGATGCCGCGCGGTTGCCGATCTCGACTGCAAGCGAAACTGGTATCACCATGCCCGTCGAAACTAACGCTGACATCTTTGTCTCGAACACATCTGGAGGCAACGTGTGCAGCAACTCTGGTTTCGACAAGTCCTCTGCGTACGCTGCCAAGTCGAGGCGCTTCGTGATGAGCCCCGCGGCATCGATCTCGACCTGGCTGGATGACCCGCTGAACGTGTCCCTCCTGGCCTTCAGACGCGCCCTCTTGTGCCCAAGGTTGTTCAGTCCACTCGCGATGGTGGTGAGATTGATGGCCCTGAGCTTCTCCTGCAACATGCTCTCGAAGTTCTCCCCAAGCTTGAGCTGGCCACCAGCGCCACCCGACACCGTGGAAGCGGCATCGTCCTCGTCATCTTCATTGTCTTCGTCATCGGCTCTGCAACAGGCCACAGTCGCCACAAAGCCCCACCTCCCCTTGGTAAGCTTGGTCCAGTAGCCGTACTTGGCAGGCTGCTTAGCTTGCTGCTCCTCCTGGGACAGTGGCAAATCACCGCCATCCTCGGCGGCTTCCGCGCCGTCGGCTGGCTCGCCATCGCCAGCGGGAGAAAGCACGGGCCTGGGGACGCAAGCGTCGTAGCTGATGTCCTGCAGGCGGCATCGCTTGCACTGGGCATCCTCCTGCCCACTCGGGCGAACCATCTCGGCAAAGAAGCCCTTGCCCTGGGACGCCACCAACTGGTTGTCCGCCATCAGCCTATACTCGTCCTCGGTCGTGGAGCGCGAGACGCCGCACTCAACGATGACGCCGACGTCGTCGGCGAGCCGCTCGGTATCGTTGACCAGAACCACCTGCATCTTGCTGGTCGGGTCGTCGGGGTTGTCGATCAGCGATAGCTTGAAGCCCTCGACCTCGTGGCTCTGCTTGAAATGGTCCTCAGCGGCAGCGGGGAAACGCAAGTAGTGGCGCAGCCCCCCCCCCCCCCCATGGATCCAACGATCGCGCTTCCATCGGCGTCCTCCTCCTCCATGTCCGCCGCCCCCATCGCCATCCAACCTGCAACTCCCCCCGAGGCCCTCGACCTCCACCGCCAAACCAACCCTGCTCAATGCCCGACCCTGGAACCCAGGCCCGAGAATGCTTCCGAAAAGGCCGAAGCTGCAACATTCAGAAAGGGATGGCCCCAAGATGGGTTTCTCAAAACCAGAAGGAAACGCTCAACTTACACGTTCAAACCCATCGTCCTCGAATTCTGACGCGGTGAGCCCACGCTTGCGCTTCAGCACCCTGGTGAAGAACGACTGGCTGCGGTAAACGTCGCTGGGAAAGAAGAACGCGCGGTGCTGGCGAGACCGCAAAGCTGAGCAGAACACCTCCGAAAAAAGCCTGGTCCTCGTTGCACTTGGCGATCACCGCCCCAGGGTTCCCGATGAAAGCAAAGGAGTCGCACGCAGGCCCGCAATCCCAACACGCTGGCCCAGCTGGGAAGTAGACCTCCGACGGCGAGGGGGGGGGCAGGTCGAAAACAACGGCCCTGGCGCCCCCTGCGAGCTCAAAAAACAATACACTGGAAACCTTCGACCTTCGAAGCCCAAGGCTCATGATCCTGAACTTCACCCCTGACCAGACCCCGCAAACCTGTATAGAATGAGCCGCCGAAGCGACCCAACTGGAATATCAAAACGGCGTCGTTCGTCCTTTGCGGTGGCCAACCTGAGCCGACAACCCGCTCTGGGACCAAAGGGTCCATCGAACAAAAAAACGAGAGCGTGCCAAAGAACATCGTTCCCAGAGGACCTCCTTCCAGTCGTTTGTTCCCCACCTTCTTCCACTCGAAGCTGTAATTACCCCACACCTTGCAATTGAACTCGTCGTTGTTATCAGCTTTGGCCAGGGTGTTGGGGCACTCAGTACGACCACGCTTATGAGGGGCCTCGAGGAGCTCGTCTGTGTAGGCCTCCACGCCGGCGTTCGTCAAGTAGGGCTTGGCATCGATGATGGCCTTCTGCGGGGTCTTCGCCGATGCTGGAGAAATCACCGCTGCCGCTGCCGACGAAGCTCCTGACACACGGCGCGACTTCGCGGCGGGCGTCGTCTCAGGCTTGACGTTCATCGCGCTGCCGCCGCCCATGGAGCTCATGATGTCATCGTCCCTGGCAGCAAGCAGCACGTTGTCCTTGCCCTTGCTCTTGGCGCCAAGCTTCCCGCCCTTGCCTCTGCAGCCGCCAGAAGATTTCATGACCGTCAAGCGACGCAATGGCTAAGCCCTGATGGACGTGCTGGGCAAGCACTCAGCACCGACAAGTCATACTGTCGTGGAAAAATGTGAGTGGCCTGAAACTTGATCCGAAGCCCCCACGGTGACGATGAGTTGAAGCAAACAATTGACAACTGTTGGCAATCACTTTCCACGCGCCCTCATTGCGACATCCCTGGGACTGACCGAGAAACATACTTCCAATAAAACCAACGGAGACGGCAACGCTAAATCCCACAGGCAACAACGCGCCTGCAAACCATGCGCATTGCGCAGCGCAGACTGCATTCTCATGCCAAGTCGCCCCAGGGCCTTAGGGCCTCATCCTCAGCCACCAGACCTCTGCCCTCAAGCCTCAATCCTCATTTTCTGTCCGCAGCCTCAGTCCTCAGCCATGAGGAGTCATCCGGGGGTTCGGGTGGGAAGGCCTTAAATACACTGGGCCTCCTCTCGGGACACCACATGAATTTTGGGCTTCTCACTAGTGATGCCCCTCACACCGATCGTGGCCACCGAGCGTAAAACGTCGCGCCCTCTGCCCTACGAGGCATCCAAGAGGCCACGGTAGGCCCCTGTAAGGAGCGCCAACGAGAACCCCAAGATACACCGACGAAGGCCCGAGGGGCCTCCAAGAGGCTCCATGAGCCCTCCGAAGAAGGCACACGGATGCCAAAACCATTTCATGCGCTTGAATATGTTTAAAAAATGGCTGCGTTCTCGCCTTCTCGGCTTTCCGACGTTCCAGGACGCCGAAGGCCCACAAAACCGCCCCAACACAGTGCAAGAGGCCTCCAAGCGAAGCCCAAGGTTACCCACGAGAGCCCCAAGACCAGAGACGGCCCAGCACGCGGCCGAGACGGACCCAGAGCGCCCCAAGGCTTGGCCCAAGATAGCCAAAGAACCCCGATGAGGGCTAAACCATGGCAGGCTGTGGAGGAGGAGGATGAGGGGGAGGAGGAGGAGAATGGGGAGGAGGGTAGAGATACATAAGACCACTAAGAGCCCCAAGAGCCCTAAGAGCCCTAAGAGCCCTAAGAGCCCTCAGACTCAAGAGCCCTAAGAGCCCTAAGAGCCCTAAGAGCCCTCAGAACCTCAAGAGCCCTAAGAGCCCTAAGAACCCTAAGAGCCCTGAGAGCCCTGAGAGCCCTGAGAGCCCTAAGAGCCCTAAGAGTCATAAGGGCCCTAAGAGTCTCAAGGGCCCAAAGAGCCCTAAGAGCCCTAAGAGCCCGAAGAGCCCGAGGAGCCCTGAGACCCCTGAGAGCCTTCACAGCCCTAAGAGCCATAAGCCCTAAGAGTCCTAAGGGCCCCAAGAGCCCAAAGAGCCCTAAGAGCCCAAAGGGCCCTGAGGGCCCTAAACGCCCTGAGGGCCCTAAGGGCCCTAAGAGCCATAAGGGCCCTACGAGCCCTAAGAGCCATGAGAGCCCTAAGAGCCCTAAGAGCCCGAGAGTCCTAGGAGCCCTAGAGCCCTAAGAGCCTTAAAACCAAAGTGAGAGGGCCGAGCGGCCATTCATCATCATATCTGGGTGCGTGGCTGATGTGGGGCCCCTCAGAGTCTCAGAGTCACGGGCGGGCTTGCCTGACGGGCCGCACATGGCATCAGGGGGAGGAGGAGGAGGAGGAGGAGGAGGAGGAGGAGGAGGAGGTGGAGGAGGAGGAGGAGGAGGAGGGGAGGGAGAGGAGAAGGAGGGGGATGATGCGGACGAGGGGGAGGAGATGAGAGGAAGTGAAGGGGAAACCACGCGGGCGTTTTTCTTCCTCTCGGAAGAGGGGGGGGGGGGGACTCACGGCTCATCTCGTGGCGCGTGCGCCATGGGGGGAGAGGGGCGGAGCGCGCGGGTTGGCAATCTCAAGCACGCGGACCCGATTGCTGTCCATATGTGTTGGGTTTTGCTGTCTGGTAGGCATCATTCTCTGCTGTATGGTAGTCGGTTCACTGCTATCTGGTGGGGTTGCTTACATGCTGATCCTTGGTATCTGGCAGGTTTGGTCTGATTGTTCGTTGGGCCTCGTTTGGATCGGCAGGGAAGGAGCGCAGCTCAGGAACAGAAGACATACAATCATGCGAAGACGCAACTTTTCACACCTCAATTGCATGCATACATACAATTCGAGTGGAGCGGCAGCGACCTCCTGTCACGGCCCTCATCTGGAACAACTGGCGCTGCAGCCACTGATGTTGCTCATGCTGGTGTTGCAGCCACTGGCGCAGTCACTGGACCTGATATCTTCAACAACTGGCGCTGCAGTCACTGACCACTGGTGCCAGACGGATGCTGCTCATGGTGCGCGGGGCTGAATAATGTCACGGTCGTCTTGGAGCCGCTCTTCACCTCCATCGTGATATTGTAAGTGGTTTGTGCAGGGTTCAGGTCTTTGAAGTTAATCGGGAACCTGCTGCTCAGCTTGTCAACGAAGCCCTGCCTGATGCCTAGCGGGGCGTCCTCCCATGCATCCCATTCCGACGTCGCCACCATGTAGAGCTCCTCTGCCACGGTCTTGGTCTTGTGCGTGCGCGCTGGTGGAGACCTCGAGCGAGGCGGTGTCTCGATCGCCACTGCCTCGGACTTGCTCTCGTCGGCGTTGGGGGTCTTGTGGAGCGGCTGCTGCTTTCCCTGTGGGCTGGTGTTGTCGCTGCTGCTGGCAGCCGCTGCAGCTGCACCGCTGCTCCGAACCGAACTCTGCTTAGGCTTAATGGTCATCATCCTCTTCTTCTGGTGCTCGATGGGGAACTGCTGCTGGCCTGCGGTCCTCGCTGCACTCGCCACCACTGCTGCATCGTACTTCTCCTTCTCCACCGCGCTCGCGTGAACCTTCGGCTGCGTAGCCACATCCATAGCCTGCTGCTTCTGCTGCTGCAGCAGCTGCTGCTGTGGCGACGGGACCTTCGGGAGCACGTGCATCTCAGGCGCAGCATCCGCGGCAGCTGGAATGGTTGGCTCCTCGAAGCTGGCGGGCTGCTGGCTGTTCGCCTCCGCGTCGTAGCCGTCGCCGTCGCCGCCGCAGGGGTCCTGGGAGTCCTGGATGTCGCCGTCGCCGCTAGGGAACATGGCGAGCGCATCGGACAGCGACGACGGCGACGGCATCTCTGGCGCCATCGTTGGGTGAGGGGCCCTGGCTGGCGGTGCCATCGCGTGGGCACCGAACACTGAAAAGAATAAAAAGTGCGTGCTCCACTCGAGGTGCTGAGCAACGAGGGTGCGGAGGCCACGCCACCCCTGCGAAAAACGCAAAGCAACGCATCGGAATGGGGACGAAGGAAGGTGGAGGAGGAGGAGAAGGAAGAGGTCCCAGGAGGGACGGAGAAGGAGAGAGAGGATAAGGGAGGGAGGAAGGAAGGAGGGAGGAGAGGGAGCGAGGAGGAGAAAGGGAGGGAGGAAGCAGGGAGGAGGAGGAGGACACGAAGAAATGATCTGCAAGGCCCCCAGAGGCCCCCGACGCCCGAGGACCCTACGGCCCCCGCGGCCCCCCGAGCCCGGTTTACGCGGCCCCCGGAACATCCTCGAGGTCCGTTCCCCCTCAGGAAAATTAGGCGGAAATGGCGGCAGCCATAAGTATTTTTAATGGGAAGTGGACAAATGACAAATTATTCCAGCAAGCACTGCGTCTGGATATTAACATGGGTGCAAGCACTGTTTTGCATATTATCACGCATATTCTCCTCCTCCTCCTCCTTCTCCTCATCCTCTCTCTCTCTCTCTCTCTCTCTCTCTCTCTCTCTCTCTCTCTCTCCTCTCTCTCTCTCTCTCTCTCTCTCTCTCTCTCTCTCTCTCTCTCTCTCCTCTCTCTCTCTCTCTCTCTCTCCTCCTCCCTCCCCTTCCCCCCTCCTCCTCTCCTCTCATCATCATCATCCTCCTCCTCCTCCTCTCCCCCCTCTCTCTCTCTCTCTCTCTCTCTCTCTCTCTCTCTCTCTCTCTTCTCTCTCTCTCTCTCTCTCTCTCTCTCTCTCCTCTCTCTCTCTCTCTCATCTCTCTTCTCTCTGGCTCTCCTCCTCCTTCTCCTCCTACGACTCCTCCCCCCCTTCCTGCTCCTCCTCCTTCTCCTCCTCCTCCTCGTCCTCCCCCTCCTCTTCCTCCTCCTCAGGAGGAGGAGGAGGAGTTGCGACTTGCGAGCCCTAAGAGCCCTAATAACCCTAAGACCTGAGAGCCACGCGAGCCCTAAGACGCCCTAAGAGCCCCAAGAGCCCTAAGAGCCCTAAGAACCCTGAGAGCCCTAAGAACCTCAAGACCCCTAAGAGCCCTAAGAGAGCCCTAAGACCCCTGATAGCCCTAAGAGCCCTAAGACCCTAAGACCACTAAGAGCCTTAAGAGACCTAAGAGCCTTAAGAGCCCTGGGAGTCGCCCTAAGAGCCCTAAGAACCCTGAGAGCCCTGATAGCCCTAAGAGCCCTAAGAGCCCTAAGAGCCCTAAGACGCCCTAAGAACCCTAAGGGCTCTACGAACCCTAAGAGCCCTAAGAGCCCTAAGAGCCCTTAAGAGCCTAAGAGCCCTGAGAGCCCTAAGAGTCCAAAGAGCCCTGAGAGCCGCAAGAGCCCTAAGAGCCCTAAGAGCCCTAAGAACCCTAAGAGCCCTGAGAGCCCTAGAGCCCTAAGAGCCCTACGAGCCATCAAATCCCTAGGAGCCCTCAGAGCCTCCAGAGCACTAAAAGCCTTAAGAGCCCTAAGACCCCATAAGAACCCTAAGAGCTCTAAACACCTCCAGAGCCCTAAGAGCCCTAAGAGCCCTAAGACCCCTGAGAACCCTAAGAGCCCTAAGAGCCCTAAGACCTGAGACCCCTAAGAGCCCTAAGAACCCGTAAGAGCCCTAAAATGAGAGTGAGAGGGCCGAGCGGCCATTCATCATGATATCTGGGTGCGTGGTTGGAGCGGGACCCCTCAGAGTCACTACCATCTTTCTTACCTCCTCAGACCCCATCCTTCTCAGGATCACGCGGCAAATTGGCGGAGCTTCGTTATTTTCAGCGGCGCCCGCCGAAGCACGCCGTCGT